TTGTGACTATGGAAAAGCTATTGTCGTTTTTATATACATGGTTTAAGTTTCGCATTAACCAATACGTTTGGTGGTTCAAGGCGCGTGAGATTCAAATAAAACATTCTTCTTCTTTGAACCGCTAGTAGTGACAGGTGAAAGTGCCACGACCATATCAACGTTTCAGATTCATTATTGAATTTCATGTTTTCAGCTTCTGTTTCAAATGTTTACATATTTGACGTTAGAATATGAACAGTGACATTTCTAAAGCTACATCCAAATCAATACACACAGAGACGTCTGGATGAAAATTTAATATAGCATATTTCAATTAAATGTTGCTATTTTATACAGGTGGATGAGATGGGTTTTCCATCCCGTCAAGATTATTGCACTTATAGCAACGTGCATGTGTGTGTGAAGGTGGGGGGGGGGGGGGGGGGGGGGGGGCTTATACTATTTAACACTTGCGCCGGTTTCATAGTGGTAGCCCACTGCGATATCATACCGCAGTTTAACATTGATTCCGGTATCCACCCTTTTGTTAGACAGCCAGTAGTTAGACAGCGTAAAATAACAACACTTCAAAGTGGATGCATGTACAGCTAAGTAACATCACATTTATTGTACTACAATATCTTCCTTGTTCTATAGGATGCTTACCAAAATAAGTTTATTGTTTGACTATTAGAGAAAGTAAATGAGTTGCTGACAAGGTGTAAATAGAATATTAAATAATATAAAAGGAGGAAGCTCAATGAACATGCCGCAAATACATATCATTGTAATAATAATTTTAACCACAAGCTACTGAGAGGAAAATCCTGAATATCTGAAAATAAAATATTTTCACGTGATCAGAATAACTTTAGTTTTATTACATACACAAACTACTAAAATCCGCATCAATTTCTGGCAAGCTCTTCTCTCACTATGGCAATCCAATTAGAACTGTCCCACTATAGCTGTGGGTGATATATTTTCGTATGAGGCGGTCCGGGGTCGAACCACCGACTTTCCGCTTACCGGGCAGAAGCTCTATCCACTAGACCACGGAGGCGGTTCTGTCTATACAAGGCACCATGTAAAAGTCGTATCAGATCGATGAAAATGAAAATTGTGTCCTCGTTAGTTTTAAATTTATACTTATCCCTTCAAAGTAGAAATTCGTGAACAAGAAATGACAACCAGGTTATCCTAAGGTGACGAAGATTTATTTCTCAAAACCAATGTCATTAGCAGCCGATATACCCAAATGTTTTCCTTTGTAAAACCCACATTACTTCTAATCACAATTTACATTGTTAAACATTAACCTGTTAAGTATTTGAATATAATGACAATTAGATAGTTTTCTCAACTAAGTGCGGCTGTTGACAAGTACGGCTGTGGTATGGACCATGTATGGATAACCCCGCGCGTAAGAAGGGATTGTTTAGTGTCTGTTAATGACGTAACAGTCAATTAGTACCCTGGGCCAGGTTTATTCACATGGACATTTTGTTGTTTTAATCAATCAGTCTGATGGTGTGCCCGAAAAAACACCCAAAGGCGCAAGAAAAAACGGATAGATCTGTGCAAATGGTGTGTACATTGAACGACACAAGCACTCTCACTCGTTGGTCGATTGTTTGTTTTTCTTGTGAAACACTCAGGGTTATACTTTTCCCAGGATATTTGTTAATTCTGGTCTTTTTTAATTCTCTCTTGTTCCTGTGCAAGTAGTTTGGTTATTTATCTAACGTTTTGAAATGGGTCTTTGGTAAATGTATTTGCCAGCCTCGAAATATTATTTTTTTGTATACGGATAGCAATGCTCTTTTTTTCTATTAGTACCCTTGTGCCATGTAACTACATCGATGCTTGAATTTAATGGGAGAGCAACTTATTGATGAGTTTTACAAAAAAAAAACATTAGAAGCTTCTTCATACACATTATTTGTGGATTATTTAATCATTAGGCTAACGTACATATCAATAATTAACATTCAAGAATTTCTTGTGTTCATGATGCTAAAAAGGAAATGCGCGTCACTTACCTTTTCGCGAACACCTGGTGTCATCACTATTTGATAGTGATTCATAAACATATGTTCATGATATAATCTAAATCGTATGACTCTGCTTTTGACAGGGATTTCTTGTGAATATAGAAAGGGATAAAGGGATTTATCACCGTGTTTAAATATTTTACTGCACGTCAGTCAGGCTGTTTATTTAAAAAAAACATACATAAACTCTGGAATGCAGTTATTTGTTCATGTTTAACACAAGCGAAATCGTTCTAACTGTTATAAAATACAATGTCTTGTCGTTCCAATCAATTGTTGGGTAACCCTTTCAGAGACAGAGAAAATAGTGTTTTGAAGCGCTAACTGAGGGAAATATTCTGTCATTAACAAATATCCCAGCTGGTATCTTATTTTTTATACGGAGAGCTGAGAAGAATCCCTATTACTAGATTACCAATAGAAAAGGTGTGGTGGGAAAATATACCACGGGAAGACAGAATTTGTAGTCACTGTAATAAACATGACGAATACCACCATCTACTAATATGTCCTTTTCTGCATAACTTGCGTAAGTTCTATACTCAAAAGAAGTATTTTACAGGACCTAGTGCGATATTACTTGATATTTTACTAAATACTGGAAGTTTATCAGGACAAAGAAAACTAGCACAGTTTGTAAAAGAAATCCTCAAGATGTTTAACTCAATGTATGAGTCTGTTGAGTTAAACGTATAGTTGACGCACGTCTGTCTCATGCCTCGTGTCACCACAAATCTCCATTTGTACCTTCAATATGTCATAGCTATGACCTTGAAGCGAAATAAACGTTTGTTGTTGTTGTTGTTGTTGTTGTTGTTGTATTCATATTAAATAACATCAAAGTAAGGTTCATATAAACTGCATTCCCGTGTTGTGTTGTTCTAGTTATTTGCAGAGGCTTTCTTAACTTACACCCCTCCGGTAAATGGTGCATTGCCAGCTGAGAATGAAGCTGATCTCAGTTTACTGTTAGATGTTTTACATACTTGGTGTTGCACAAATAAGATAGAGATCCATAAGGAAAAGTCTAAAATTGTCCATTTTAGAAACCCGTCTGTCATACAGACGAAGCATGTTTTTAATGTCGGAAATATGATTTTAGACATTGCTGCTAAGTATAATCATCTTGGTCTACTGTTCACAGACCACTTAGATTTTACTGCAATGGCACGTGCAGCAGCGAAGTCTGCTGATAGGGCTTTGGGCCTGTTGATATCCAAAGTTAAGACAATAGGCGGTATGCATTTCCAAACCTATTCCAAATTGTACGATAGTATGGTGTGGTCTGTTCTTGACTACGGGGCGGCTATCTGGGGTAATTATGATGTCAGCAATAAATGCTGTACACCATAGAGCCATTACATTTTATTTGGGACTCGGCAAATACGCCCCTAACGTCGCTGTAAATGGGGACATGGGATGGATACCGCCTGTTGTCAGACAGTGGAAAAGTGTAGCAAGACAATGGTGTCGCCTTAAGAATATGTCTAGTAGGTTAAACAAACACGTGTTTAACTGGGCTGATAGATACGATGTAAATGGTTGTAAAAATTGGAATGGTAAGGTAAAAAAGAAGTTTACTTATATGGATTTAGGATATCTATTAAATGCTACAGGTTTTATTAATAAATTTTCTGTTTGTACACAGGTGGAACAATGGTGAATGAATGAATATGTTACCCGTTGGGGTGATATGTTAAGAAAGGAAGAGGGGCGAAATGGGCTTAATAAACTGAGAATGTACCGATGTTACAAACAAGTATATAGACAGAATACTATGTTTCAAATAAGATGCCCAGAAACTATAGATCGGCACTAGCCAAGTTTAGATGTGGCGTGGCTCCTATTCGAGTGGAAACCGGTCGGTACGAAGGTGTACCTGTCAATAATAGAAAATGTTTTCACTGTAATGACAGCGTAGAAGACGAGGTCAATGTTTTGTTTCACTGCGTATTATATGACGATATCAGGGCAACTCTTTTGAATGAATGCATAGCTAAATCTTATAATGTTTTAGATATACCTGATATCGACAAACTTTGTTTAACTTTCAGTGACTCCAGTGTGCGTTTTATACTTGCCAAAGTCTGCTTTTTAATTCTTAATCGTAGAAAACATCTTTTATATGGATAACTTTTTACTATATCATCTTCATATCATTTATGTATAAATTCTGTGATAATTTGTCTCTCGTAATTCCATTGAATGGTTCTGTACATTCTATCTATGTCAAGTTGTACAAAGCTGTTTTATGTGTGTACAGGAGTGAGACGTTAATAAACTATTGTCTGTCTGTCTGTCTGTCTGCACAGCTGGTAATAAATTAATCGTTATAATGCCATAATGATTGCTGATGGAACAGTAGAAATGGAAGGCCGAGATTGTTGCGTCCTTTATATACCCATCATTCACCAAAATGACGGCAGTAGATTAAACTAATCGTATCGTTTAAAGCAAATTAATAACTTTATGTAAAATAATATCACGATTAACACGATATAACGCACGATTACATGTTGCTTAAACCTACCACATAAACATGATATATAATCATAAGATATATATTTACTTTTTTCACTTACTAAGCATTCACCAGGTGAAGGAGCAAGAAGTAGTTCTGAAACGTCGTGACAAAGAATAAAAGAAGTTGCTATCCATAAAAAGTGTCATGTATTCATGTTCTCCCAACTTCTAAATGCCTATCGAAGACTTCTACCCACACCTTTTAAAACAAAAGGAAACAATTCAGACCAGACGAGCTCAATCTGCTTCATAGACAAAGACCATGATGGCGACTCTAGCTTGACATAAAGTCATATCACACTTGGGGATTAACGACGGGCCGATGTCTCACGTAATTGGTGGACAACGATAAGGGGTGGGACTAACTTTATCAAAACTTCTCCAATGTTTGTTTTCTACCCGCCGCATAGGGCCAATCCATGTCAATCATCAATCAGGATTTCAGCCGTGTATCATCGCCCTGAGAGATCTCACACGAATTTCGCGAAATTGGAATTGTTGAATCCCAGTTATTCATATCTACGGACACCGCTGTTCACATGTTTGGGAAATTTTTTTGATTCACCGTGTGTTTTGAGAGAGTAGCAGACGACAAGCTCACTGGCACGTGCTTGTGGTGTTGCAGACGACAATGTTTTGAGTGAGGCGTGCCAAGCAGACGACAGTTGGTGACGGAGGTGAAACGCAGAACTCACTGTCATGATTTCAAATTTTGGATTATTTCTCAAGAGGAAGAGTATAAACATCATTTAGAGTCAGAACATCAGAAAACAGATGCTATAGCAGACTCATCTGTCAATTTAGCCGTCAGACGACCATTTTGCGTTGCAGAATAGCGTGTTTATAACCGATGAAGCAGAAGACACCATAACATCCGTATGGTTGTCAGGTCAGCGACAACGTCACTTTTAGACGTCTCAAAGATGTTCATGAAGCACCTGCACTGGGTGAATTCAAGGTGTATTTAAAATTTCAATTGTAACGACATAAATATAGGCAGTTTAAAACAATATCTGGAATAGGAGCAGGGTACTTTCTGTGAAAAATCCTGAGCAAGCCAGAATTCATTTTCATGAATTTCTAGAGAAAAGGCTAAAGAAAACGCTAGCTGTTCCACTCTAGAATGGACGCCTTAAACACGGTGTTGCCGGATGGACTCTATGACCTTGGGTCTCAAGGATACCACACATATCCCCCGGGATCGACCCTTTGGTCCCCAAGAGTGGATTCCTACCCTCAACAGGACATGCCTCCCCACCCCCGTCTGTCTGAGGCCAGGGATATACCAGGAGAACGACCCCCAGAAGTGCCTGACCACGCAACAGGTAAGACATGTGAACTGTCAAACGTTAGACAGCATTGGGGTAGCCTAGTAGTTAAAGCGTTTCCTCGTATATATTACTAAAAACGTCATCAAAACTAACTCACTCACTCTAGATTACAGTACATGTATCTAGTACCGGTTACAATGATAACAATTCAAAGCGGCGTTAAACCCAACCCTCTGAAAGGCTAGGCTCGGGTCAACTGACACTTTTAACAAAGTTGAATGTCATTCTGAACCCATTTTTTTTTTATCTAACTTAAGTTAAGTATGTATCTATGATTACCCTCAATACACACAGCTAGTAAATTCATTTGTCGAAAGGACGAGGTATGGGAATGTCACTTTTTGTCCTACAACCCTACTGTCCTAAGAAGTGGGCAAAACTATTAGACATTGTTATGAAAGTTATCAAATATCATATGCATGAGAGATAGGCTTTGTTCATTTCATCTATTGCGACTGACTGACTGAGTATGGTTTTACGCCGCTTTTAGCAATATTCCAGCAATATCACGGCGGGGGACACCAGAAATGGGCTTCACACATTGTACCCATGTCGGGAATCGAACCCGGGTCTTTGGCGTGACGAGCGAACGCTTAAACCACTAGGCTACCCGACCGCCCCTCATCTATTGCGTGTTTGGGACGTGTGACTACAGTAAATGCACACGTACGGTTAACTCATGTCAAAGAGACTGGTTTTAGAGGTTTTCAATCTGTGTGTTTCTACTATTTGAACACCTGTCTTCGACCTGAGCCGCTTTTCATAGGAGCTGTAGATATAAACAGTACAAACATTGGGCCAACAATTCATATTGGGTCAAAAATTGTTAAATAATTTGGTGAAAGTTTACAATTCGGAAATTTTCTCAAATTTTAGTCACATATATGTGTTCTTGAGGATGTCAGGAGCTCAAATCGTGCAAGTATAAAACACAAAAAGGTTCTTATGATCAGTTATAAAAGTCTCGTGCCAATATTTTAATTATTTCAGTAGTTTAAAAACTTAATAGGCCCATACACTATCTCGTCCTTGAATGACAACGTCTAAAGCGAACCCGGACATGGGTACCGGGTCATGGGGCATAGTCACCTTTTAAACTATGTATCTTGGTGGTCTTAATCACATTAATGTCTTTGGTATGTATACTGCTCAAAAGAACTTAAAGAACTCCAGATTGTTTTCATATTACTATGCATGTTGTAAATCTGCCTTGACATAAGCTTAAGAACACAGATGACAGAATAACGATAGTACTATGAAACTTCCTTAACTTCTATTGAGTAGTATATTTAGAGGATAGATACTACATCCGGCTCCTTTATCAGAGGATAACTAGAAAGGACAATGTGTAGCCTCGTTGTGCACAGAAGACGTTGAAGTCTCCGATCACGACAGCGATGAAACTGTGTGATATGTGAATTCACAGTCGTATCTACATCAGATGTGCTTGTACTTGTATCTACGAAACAAACAAAACTGTCATCAATATGTCATCAATATCAATATGTGAATGAAAACATATTTCCTCTAATCCACGAAAGCAGTATTGTAACTAGTTGGTGTTGTTTATCGCCGCACTCAGGACAGTAAATCATCGCACGACCAACAAACTTCTGGGGAACAAGTTTACCTCGTATTCCTCACCGAGTATTACCGCTTGCCAAGTTAGGACAGTAGATGCACCACTGGGCCAATCCAACTGAAATTGTCATATGATAAAGCGTGTGACGCTGTGTGTCCTTTTCCCGAACTTACTTGTACACTTCCTTTGAACTTATCGACAACGGGATTATGGGATCACTTATTTATCGATTGTAATAAATGTATACCCCGAACAATAATTCCTGCTTTATGGAACATATACAGTTGATCATATCACTGAAAATGTATGGCTGATATGAATACAAATCGGCACAACAGTTACAATGGCTGATGTCGGAAACGGTTCAGGAACGTTGTATTCCACCAACGGTGATACAAAAGACTACATAAAATATATCATTACAAATTTAAAATCAAAATATGTAAAATGACAGCAACAATGGTATGTTCCTTATATTGTTCTTTGTCTGAGTCTTGATAAAAAAAGAAGCTATTTAAGCCATTCCTTGTTACTACAAGACACCTGGTGTCATCACTGACCTTCAATGATCCATTTATATACTTTTCACCGTTATTTTGCCTTCACACCCGATGGCATCTGTTTCGGGGTATACTTGAGACTGACTGTTCTCTGGCGTTGACGTTGTATTATGCCATTCCTACCGAGTTCTCATATTTAAAGATACCGTTACAATTTTTATCCCAATGCCTGCTCTTCAGTGCATATTCATTTTCATGATTTATTGATATTAACGGGTATATAGAAACTTCTAAAGAAAGACAGGTTCTATGGATGAACAACTTCTTTATTACAATTAGTGCGACGTTTCGGTGTAGATCCTAACACCTTTAACAAGCAAGTGGTTCTAATATAACAATGCCACCAAACTTATAATGGTGCAGTCTATAAACAAATACAAACCAGATAAAATGGTTAGCAAGTGTGTGAGTTAAGTGTGGATAAGAATTTATGGATGAACAACTTCTTTATTACAATTAAGACAACGTTTCGGTGTAGGTTCTAACACTTGATTTCTTGATAATGGTGTTAGGATCTACACCGAAACGTCGCACTAATTGTAATAAAGAAGTTGTTCATCCATAGAACTTGTCTTTCTTCATCACACCAACTTCTAAATGCCACTGAAAGAAGAGAAAGTTCTAACATGTAATATAGTCATTGTCGACATGATTTGACCAACTAACACGCGCTTTAAAGTATTATTATTATGCTGTGATTGCACGTATTGACCTGAATCAAATAATTTTCCTACATTCAATTACATGTACGTAAATTAATGACACCCACTATTTACACCAGCTGATACATCCCTATGTATGCGTTCTACCCATAGATATAGCAACCGAGGCATTCCATAACGGTACTATATACAGTAACATCCTGTTAATACCGACGGTAGTGTTATGAAATTATCCGGATTTATGAATGCGGAATTAACGAATCTTAACGCCACCTTGTGTAAAGGCAAGCGGTTGTAAAGTAATCACCTTCATCTGAGATTGCTGGATTAACAGGGTCCGGGTTAATGCGACTTCACTATGTACAGTCTACTTAATAATTTATCATTCATATACATTTCTCATTTCCTCCACTATTGGCTTTTAACGCCCAATAGAATCTTTTTCGCCACTGTGCGATTATTTTAAACGAAACATTAAACCCCATTTCACCTCATCATAACTCATTTGATAATCAAGACTGATTATTCCCTGTGATCATTATTATTATCATCATAATTTACACTCTTTAACTCAAAGGTGTTATAATTAACGATGAAGCTTTTATTTATAAAGTGAAATAACTTATTATATCGACATACTTTCGCCATATTTTTCAATTATTTCATTAAATACGATGGTCAAAATAAACTGTTGGCTGCTTAGGCGTTTGACTCAATTTTTAAACATCTCGTATTTAGTTGTAAAGAAAATAGTATCTGAAAGAATTACTACACTGCATGACCGGGTCAGGAACACCGTGACTTTATCGTGAAGGGAGTCACTCCTAGGCTCATTGTCGGAAACCAAACATACTGTTTACCTTTAACTACTTGAATGTCAGAATGATAAATCATATGTAAACTTGGTGACATATTTAGCCCCAATAGCAGACCATTGCTCACAATGCTGCCGGCGGTCGTTCAATAACGATTGAGAACCAAACTGTTTTGGAATACAAATATAATGTGTTAATGATGTATTCGAGGCTAGTGTTAAAAAGAGAAGAAACAACTCATTCTATTACATATTCGTATACAGTGAAAATGATTTAACAAAAACGTAATACATGCATACCCTTTTTAGTAGTTCATCATTATACAAAATATATAGTGAAATATATGTAGATAACGATGATTGTTGTTCTACGTTTTATCTATAAGCATCTTATTAAAATAAGTATACATAGTAAATAATGTCTAAAAATCTGGGAAATCTGGGAAATCTGTCAAAACCGAAGTACGAGATAATTAGATAAAAAATGAGAAATTATCTTAAGTTTTCAAAGCTTATTGTACCAACAAAATATTTGAAAACATTGAACAACATCCCCTCAACATCATCCTCTCTTTGGAACAATCTACCCATCCCCAGCGTGCCGATGTCAAGCTTTATGTATATACAGCGCTATGAACAATAACCTGTGACTAGATATTGATAGCGTTATTAAATAACATATTATTAAGTGTAGAACTCTGAATAAACAGTGATCTATATAAACCAAACCCTATCTGAAGAGACCGTATTTTCGCCCGTCTCTACACAATATTAACTTACATTAATTCGTCATTACCTCTGACTTTTCTTGATTATTACACACACTTATAGAAAAACACCCGGAAATCCCCTCATGGGATATCGGGTATCAAGTAATTGGAAATAAAGAAATCCCACAGACTCCGTGTCTGGGGAAAAGACCGGCCAAGTGTGGTATAAACCGCAGTGTCTACGTTAGTTCCGGGGCCCTGTAGGATCCCCTTCTGATGCTCTACGACAAGTGTTCATTGCTAAGAATTAGGATGTGATGACAATGAGAGTGCTATTGACACCCCTGTCGTAAATAGTGGACATTTCAGCTTACCTGGAGGGGTGAGAAGATTGGTAATGGAGTGGGCGGAGAAGTTTAAGTTCGAGGGGAGAGGGTAGGACAGGGGTCTCCTGCGAAAGGGCACGATTGAAATAATAGCCACAATAAACATGTTTTTTGGGAAAACATATTTTTTTATTTTATCAACTGTTTTGTTTTTTTTCGATGTTTTGGGCCAGTTTGAAACTGCCCCTGTGTTCAAGAGGAATTAAAAATGAAAGATATAAAATCCGATATAATTCTTCTTGCCCTGGTATGTTCCGAATGCCAAATAATAATAACTTTC